GCTCACGCCTGTTAGCCTAACTACCCAGGAGGCTGAGATCTGAGGATCATGTTTTTTTTTTTTATTATTATTGTAAAAGTGACATACAAAGGGGTTGCTGTTACCTAGTCAGGTAATGAGAACATTTCTTTTTGAGCAGTGTCACCTCCCATTTCCTCCCAGTTTTCCCCTCCTGACGCACAGAAGTTGTATAGTTCGTTTTCACCATAGTATCTAGTGAGTATCAGTGCTGCATTTGTGCACCTTTTGTTAACCAGCAAAAAGCCAGAAGTAGGGGTGTGGCTCAAGAGGTAGAGTACGAGCCTTGAATAACAAGAAGAGAAAGAGAGTGTTAAGTCCAGCAAATATTTCTGATATAGACCCAACCTTTCTGACGGAGATTGTACGGATTCGATTGTCAAAATACCCATCTCCCCAGGGGATTCATTACACTCCAAAGTATCCCTGCATGTGGAAGCGTGGATTGGGCCTGCCTTCCATGGATCCGCTCTGGCTACCCCAAAACTCCCTGACCGCCCCCCAATGAGGCCTTAATCCCTGTCAAGTGTTGTTATGCAGCCTTGGGGTTGTTTATTTAGTTTCAGTAACTCCTTGTTACTGCCAAGTATTATTTCATTTCAGCACCGATGTAAGGGGTCCAATGGCTGGAACTATTTTACATCCCTGACATGGCAGGGAGATGGAGACCGTTTCATTACAGACAGCTGAGCGTGATGGCCGAGCCCCCGGCCATGCGTATTTATCATCATTATTAACTTCTCACCAGGCTCAGCCGCGTTCCAAGGGCCTTAGACAATGTGATCTAGAAGGACCCCGCGTCTCCTGTCACCTTTAAATTTATGAATGGACAGTTTAATATTGCTTGATTGTTTTCTTTTCCTCTTCTCAGAGGGAGAAAATATGTTACTGTCACTCACATTTTTTTTCTATACTCTTTTTTTTTCTCTCCTGTTTCCATCACTCTCCCCCCTACCCCCGTTACCCCAATCCCTCCAGGTGGTTTTCCAATTATACCTCGTTGGAAATTATTCATTACTTAAAGAATGCGAACGGGATAGACCAGACACACGAAGGACCCAGTAGTCCATTGACTGAAATGTAGCTGGCACTTCATAAATGCAGGAGGAATGGGGCTGGGCGGGCAGAGGGAGCCGGAAAGAAGGTTAAGCAAATGCAGGAGGAATTAAGAACAACAGAACTCTCACTTCTAAAGTCCTCTGCCTTCTGCCCTGTGCTGTAACAGAACGTGTTTCTGTATTTGTATTTTGTCGCTCTCCACCTTTCCATACTAGAGCCAAGCAGGTGAATCTTGTAATCTCCAGCTGATAGGAACCCTGGCTGCTGTCCTCCCCAGGCCTTTCCTCTCTTTCCTGACCCAGGCTGTGAGGCCTTTAAGAGTTACAGTTCTGGGCCTGAGGACCATTGGCTCACACCTTTCATCCCAGCTACTCAGGAGACTGAGATCTGAAAATCATGGTTCAAAGCCAGCCCAGACAGAAAAATCTGCGAGACTCTTAGCAATTACCCAACAAAAGGCTGGAAGTGGAGGTGTGGCTCAAGTAGTAGAGCACCAACCTTGAGAGAAAAAAATCCAAGTGAGATCTTGAGGTCGTGAGTTCAAGCCCCAGTACCAGCACATGCACAAAAAGCTGCTTGCTCTATAGGCTTCTATTGAGCGAGCCTATGAAATCAGGAAGAAAACCACACAGAATTTCTTCCTTGTTCCTTCTTTCCTTCTCTCCCTTCCTTCCCTTCTCCCTTCCTTCCTCTTTCTTTCCTTCCTTCCTTCCTTCCTTCCTTCCTTCCTTCCTCTTTCTCTTTCTTTCTTTCTTTCTTTCTTTCTTTCTTTCTTTCTTTCTTTCTTTCTTTCTTTCTTTCTTTCTTTCTTTCTTTCTTTCCTTCTATCCATCCATTTAACCATCCATACATTAATCTAACCTTCCTCCTTTCCTTCATTCTTTTCTTTCTTCCTTCCATCTACCCCTCATTTATCCACCTATGCATCCAACCAACCTTGCTCCTATCCATTCATCCATCCACCCATTCAATTATCCATCCATCCATACATACATTCATCTTTTCATCCTTCCTTCATTCGTCCATCCATCCATTCACTCACCTATCCATCCATCCATCCACTCACCCACCCACCTTTCCTTCCTGCCATCCATCCACCCAACCAACCACCCATTGTTTAGAAACCCAGCACTCTACAGTTCTGACCCACCAGAAGTAACTTTGATGGCCTGTAGAACCCCTTTCTCTGGGGTACGTTGTTGGGCTCGAGCACAGTCTACCATTCATAGACTACTGGGGACAGGGCCAGGAGAGCACCTCCAGCATCTCATCCATCACATGAGCCAGGCAGAGGTGCCACCTCCCAGGTACAGGTGTATAGATTGTGAGGAAGAAAGACTCCACACACATGCTGGGTAACACGTTCCAATGCTGACTTCACATCAGCACTGCGTTGTCTTCATAGTGCAGGGAGATGCTCCATGGTGCACCAGTGGCTCATGCCTGTAACCCTAGCTCCTTGACAGCCTGAGGTATGAGGCTTGTTGCTCAAAGCCTTGGTAGACAAATCTGTGAGACTCTTAGCTACAATCAACTACAAAATCTCAGGACTGGAAGTATAGCTCGAGTGGTAGAGCACCAGCCATGAGCAAAAGAAGCTTAAAAAAAAAAGACTGTGAAACCCTGAGTTTGGGCCCCATAACCAGTACAAAATCAATCAATTAATTATCCAGGTGAGAATGCCTTGGATCCAGAGGTTACAAAGCTGCTTGGTTGTCAATACACTGTTCGGCTAGTAGTAAACAATTCTATTTCAAACCAAATATTCAGCTCGGTGTAGCAGCTCAAGGGAGGCTGAGGCAGATTCTAGCTTAGTAGGCAGCCTAGGCCACATAGCAAGCATGAGGCCTGCTCACCTCATCTTGCAAGAGCCTTTCTCAGAAAAGAAAAGAGAGAAAGAAAGAAAGAAAGAAAGAAAGAAAGAAAGAAAGAAAGAAAGAAAGAGAAAGAAAGGAAGGGAGAGAGAGAGAGAAAGAAAGAAAGAGAGAGGGGGAGGGAGGGAAAGGAAAAGAATTACACCAAATATTGACCCTGACAGAGTCTAGACTGGGTCACATGGCCCTCATTGGCAGTGAGTGCCTGAGCTGCACTCAGCATGAGTTCCCTCCCTCTGGCACCATCACCCCTGCAGGTGCCCTCCAGTTCTGTTCCCAGGAACTCCAGCCATCATGCTCCTCTCCTAACTTGTTCCAGCAGGAGCAGAGCAGCCGTGAGAATGAAGCACTCTGCCTCCTGAGGACTGCTCACAGAACACACACCAAACTTTTCTGAAGCGTGTCTTTGCTATGCATGTGCCAGTGCGTGCACTGGTCCCAGGGTTTGAATCTGGGACCTGGGCACTGTTGCTGAGCTTTTCTGCTCAAAGCTAGCACTCTACCACTTGAGCCACAGCTCCACGTCCAGCTTTTGGGTGGTTAAATAGAGAGAAGCGTCTCATGGACCTTCCTGCCTGGGCTGGCGGCTGGCTTGGGACCTCAGTCCTCAGATCTCAGCCTCCTGAGTAGTTAGGATGACAGGCGTGAGCCACTGGCACCTGGCTTAGTCTCTTTGCCCTGTAGAAAAGAAGCATGTGAAGGAATCTCTCCCTGGCCCTTCCAATCTGGAAGTTCCCTTGTGCAAGCTTAAGAGGCGCATTCCATTTGGACACACCATCATCCTCAAGGTCCTGTTAGTGACAAGTTCCGTAGGCTCCTCCCTTTCTTTCAGCTGGTTCCCTGGACCTAGGGGTCACCAAACCCCAACCAACAACAGGAGCAAAGCGCAGGGGAAACCCTGAGACACAGTGGACATGGCCATTGTCTCAGACCCCGGGGCCTGAAATCGACACCATATGCACTGTAGTTTCAAGCAGGGGGGGAAAGCCACATGTCAGAACACTTTGTAACACCTAATTCATCCTTAAGTTAGAAATACATATGATGCTCCCTTGAAAAAAACAGAAGTTGAAAAAAAAAAGTCTTTTAACTAGGTTATTTCTGTGACAGTCCTTCAGGTAGAGGTGAACTTTACTAGGGAGACACCACGATGAAAGAGCAACACGTAACCCCCTTCGGCGGTATATTTTACATGATATTTTTTTTTGCAGTAAATAAAGTGGTTATAGGGCTCCAAAGGGAAGGGCCCAGATGTTGGAGAGTTGTGTGAAATTTAGGGGAAACAAGCTATAAAAAAAATACAGTCATAAAACAGGCTGTCAGTGCCATGCATCTGGACAATACAGCTGTATGTTCCCAGCGGCTGTCGTCACCCCAAGAAAACTCAGTAACCTTATTTCACCCCAATTAGGCTGCACACCAACAGGAGAAATGTTTAAGTCGCAAGAGGGGAGCAATATTTGTATGGCGCCTGTGTGTCAAGCAGCTTTTATCTTGCCTCTGAATTCCGTCTCCAAGAAATAAAAGACTCCTAACATCATCATTCCTGCTATTATAAAAAACCCTGCTGAATGTCTTATGTCCTCGTAAGTCAGAGTGTGGCAGCGTGGACCACTGGCGACACCAAGTAACGACCGGCCTTGTGTGACGTGAAAGCGGCCTGTCGCCCGTGCCCCCCTGGACCTCCCTGTCTTTCCTCTGCCCTCTCCGGAAGTCAGGATCCAATACCGCCACAGGATGATAGGACGCAAACTCCAGGCCTCTCCCCCCGGCTTGGCTTTCCTGAACAAGGCTGCTGCTCTATCATGCAAGTGACAGCTCCACTGCTGACTTTTTGCTGGTTAATTGGAGATTTTAGTCTACCTGAGCTGGCTCCTAATCCTGACCCTCAGAGGTCAGCCTCCTGAGTAGCTAGGATTTCAGGTGTGAGCCACCAGCGGTGGCCTCTTTCTGTCTTATTAGGAAAAGGAAAGTGATATCTAGACAACCAGACCTATTTAAAAATCACCATACAGTGTTACTTTTCCTAATAATTGTGTTTCTTCACAGGTGTTAGTAGCAGCCAAAACAATTATGGACAGTGGAGAGAAGTTAACCCTGCCACTGATCGGGAAGCTCCTGAAATTTCAACTTCTCCAGATTAAACTAAAGGATCAAGACCGCCGAGAAGGCGAGAAGAAGGTGGGTGAGAGCGGCCGGGTTGTCTGCAGCGGGCAGTGAAGGCACAGAGCAGGCTTCTCCAGAAACACACTCTTCCTCCTGAAGCCACTATTTAGTGTTAGCTGGCATAGTTAGGTGCAGTTTCAATCCAGGGAAAAGACTATCCAGAGATCTATTGGGGGGATTATGAAAAATCCACTATGGGGGAAAATCGATGAAAGTGGTAATATTCAGAACTTGTTAAGATTCTTGTTATTGTAGTGTTTTTGCGTAATTGTGGAAAGGAAATGACCCAGAAACAGAGAACCAGGAGAAACAAAATGGGAGGAAAGCCACTCAGGGCAGGATCCATTTGCTATAAGTGACGTATAATATATGGGTGATTATTAAAATACAATAACATGACATAACACAGTGATTGCCCGAGCAGAAACCCATCACTCCTATGTACATATACATCCAGCAGTTTCTTTTCATGTGGACTTCTCATTTATTTCAGTTTGTGGAAATTGATCGGTCTACTTTCACAACTTCACATTTGCATCTGAAAAGTAATTTAAAATTCCTTGAGCAAAGTGATGCCAGGTTCAAACCCATTTGTTACGATCATTACACAAAATGTGAAAGGCTTTTCTTATTTTCCAAATCAAGTGGAAATCATTTTGTAAAGCCAAGATCATGCTTCAGGACACCCATAGGTCACACACGCGTGTGATTGTACATAGAAAATGGATTTGCACGTAAGTACTTAGGATTTCAGGCAGAAAAGGCAAAGACAGTGGAAAAAGAAAGTGTGGAAATATTCCCACTTATGCCTTCTTCACTTGTAAGACCCTAACAACTTAGTTTCCTATCTGAACCCAAGTTCTGATGAATAGTTGTAGTCATTAAAATACTACTACTACTACTAATAATAATAATAGTAACCATAGATGGGTATGGTGCTCACATCTGTGCTCACACACTCAGGAGACTGAAATCTGAGGATGGAGATTCAAAGCCAGCCCAGACAGGAAAGTCAATGAAACTCTTATCTCCAATTAACCAGCAAAAAGATGGAAATGGCACTGTGGTTCAAGTGGTCAAGCAGCGGCCTAAAGTGCGAAAGTCAAGCAAGAGTGCAAGGCCCTGAGTTCAAGCCCAATGAATGACGCACGCGCGCGTGCACACACACACACACACACATTTTTGCAGTGTTATTTTGCTTGGCATTTCTTTAAATTGTGAATGGAAATAATACTGTTACAGAATTCTAAAGATGCAGAAATTATTTATTTGTTAAAATTTCAACATCCTGAGGAATCAAGGCTTAAACTTTAGATACTAAAGTCAAAAGTATTAGATGGAGGAAGATAACTCTTTGAGCCAACAATTACATAACCTAATTGAAGTTCTCAAAGCTCCAGCCTCCAATCTCTGCTGCAACCCACGAGAGTAGGTGCTAAAGAAATTGACCTTCAGGGCTGGAAGCGTGGCTCCATGGTAGAGTGCCTGCCTAGCATGCACGAAGCCCTGGGTTCAATTCCTCAGTACCACATACACAGAAAAAACCAGAAGTGGTGCTGTGGCTCAAGTGGTAGAGCACTAGCCTTGAGCAAAAGAAGCTCAGGGACAGCGCCCAGGCCCTGAGTTCAAGCTCCAGGACTGGCAACAAAGAAAAAGAACAATTTGCTCCAGGGAAGTTAGAATGAACTTGTGACTTTGAAATTATGTAATCATTTAATCACAATCAAAAAAAAAAGAACCTCGGGGAAGGGAGGGAGGGAGGGGATGGTAGGGGGAAAACAATGGAGAGGGTAACAATGTTCAAGAGGAAGTGTACTCATTACCTCACTCATGTAACTGTAACCCTCTGTATAGTAGCTTTACAATAAAATAAAATTAAAAAAAAAAAAAAAAAAAGAAAAAGAAAAAATAGAACAAAGAAATGGGTGAAAACCGTTTGAAGCAGAGTACTCTCCACAAGTGCTCGGCCCTAGCTGGAGGAAAGGAGACATGTAGGGTCGGGTGATCCATGTTCATTTCAGCTACTCAAGAGGTCACTTGGTACAATTGAGGAGAATGCTTGTCATCCAGGACTTTGTCAGAAAGCAAAATGAATAGAATGTCACATGATACTAAGCAGTGCATTAGCAAATGAAAAAAGAAAGCAAAAAGGTTTTCCCAAATGTCTTCCTCTTTACCAAACCTAAAAGAAGGTCTGGCACTGCGGGAGGGGACCTGAGCTTTTGAACCACAATGTGAAATCTACATAGATGATTTCCTTTCAAATGCTAATTGCAGTATATTGCTCACATCTGTACAAGCCCAAGAATGTTTTTGTATCTTCTGCGTCTAATTTTGGAGATTGAATTTTTAAGAATGAATGCTTTTGAAATATCCAATGCAGTAATTACAGAAAATATCAGGGAGAAGGCGAGGACAAAAATAATAATAATACTAAGGTCTCTGTTCTTTTTCCCCAATGGAACAGATGGAATGTCTCTCTATAGATTTGATCCTGCTTTTAATCAACGGTAAATCATAGTTTCCTTTGTCAAGTACAATCGAGATATTATTTTACACCACTGAGTTTACTAAGTTGTAACACGTTAGTCTGGGATATGCCTTACATAGCTTTTGCTTTCTGTTTTGAAAGACAGCTTGCTGGCTAATTAATATTAGGGGGGAATGATTTAAAGCTTTAAAGCCTGTAGCATTGAATTTCTGAGACATAAATACTGCCTTCTTGTTGAAGAGAAGTGGAATCCATTTGAATGTATTTATCTCCGTAGGAACACTTTACATCCAAACACACATTTGACAAAGAAATGTACTCTATAAGAGTATCTTATTATTTTGGAATTTCTGAATGTGACTATCTCTCACTTAACAATCTGAAATTTGATTATTAGTCCATCCTTAAATTTCAACATGACAGTGTTTTGTTTAAAAATGAGTTTTCCTTATTTCTCCTTAGCGTCGATTCTGTATTCTCAGTTCCATTATTATTAATATGATTTTAAGTTCACAAATGCCACAGACATTTGTAGAAGTGACATTGTTGTTTGGTTACTGATCTGAATGATTTTTTTTTTTTTAGCAATTATCTGGATTTTTATTTTCAATCACATTAACTCCTGATTTTTATGCTTTAAATCAATTATAGATATTTACTTAAGCACAAAAAGAAAACATTTAATCATGAAAATAGGTACAATACCAAAAAATCATTAGCCACTTAAATAATTGGCCAGACTAAATCCAGTCTTCCGTCTCTGAGCTGAATTGAGAATTTTGGCTCGGGTTTTACGAACACATGCACACAGATTCCAACCATGCTTTCAATTTATGAATTCACAGAACCAGTCCACATCCTCTTGGATTTTTTTTTTTTAGTTAGAATATCTTTCCTATAAAATCTTCCATATATCTTTTACATCTAACTCATCTGCTTCCACAACAAGTTGTTTTATTTCTTGATGAAGCAGAGAGGAAAAGAAAGTATCTATGAAGAACTGTGGACAGATAGTATTTGGTAAACTCATCTTAAAACACTTCAAAATTAAAACACCTGTGGTTCAATGATACCACATAATGAAACCCAACCCACCCAGAGCCTCCCCAAAAAGAGGAACAAAGAGGAATTAGAGGAGCTTTCACAAAGGTCCTCAAACTTACTCCGGTCAAAACTTACTCCGGTGGAAACACTGGAGATCAGCCAGCTCGATGCCATTTTGTGTGTGTGTGTGTGTGTGTGTGTGTGTGTGTGTGTGTGTGTGTGTGCGCGCGCGCACATGTGTGTGTTTAGTCTTAAAGGAAAGGCCGTGGAGACATACCAGGAAATTAGTTAGTTTGGATTCAGTTGTGGTTAAACTCCTCAGAAACTATTTTAGGAAATCAAACAGAGGAGGAGCAGGAACTCGGTACAGAGGGACCCGAGTGGTTTGAGGAAAGAAATAACTGGCCCCACTATGGGAAGGAATCTTTTGAGGCTGGATTGCGGAGATGAGTGAGTCCACGAAGATGAATGGAGTCACCGGGGTCCACAACTCCCTGGCTGGCTTATCTGGCTGTTTCTCTCATGGGCCTCTGATGGGTTTCATATTCATTAATAAAACTTTTTATGGACTTCTAGAACAATGTAAAAAAGAAAACCCGCAGAGGTTTAAGATAGCTGTGGTCTCCGCCGCTGATCCTACATGCTGACGGGCATCTGGACACGCCATGTCATTCAGTCTTCTTGAATGATGGCATGAGGTGTCGAGAACTACATCCAAGATGCAGATGGTGGAGGGATGGGGTGGGAGGGAAGTGATTTCCCAAGCCAGATAATGAGTCTCAGAGATGGAGCTGGGAGTCAGACTCCAAGGGCTACGACACTAGCCACATACACACCTCCCTCCCACCCCACTTTTGCTCTGAGGGCTGCTAAAGACACTGGCACAGGACCAGAGCTTTGCTACCCAGCCTGCCCACCCCCCGCTGGGGCTGCACACGGCATCCCAAGGGGAAACGTGGGAGTCAGGGTCAAAGCAAGGAGCAAAACTCACAGAAGTTGAAGATCAGCAAGACAGCAAACTCCCACTCCAAGGTCCACCCTGCTGTACCTCCAGTTCCTCCCTCCTGCTGAGGTCTCAGGTCAGAGCTAGCCAGAACCAATGAATCCAGGAGATACTTAGCTCCTAATAACCAACAAAAGGCCAAAAGTGGAGGTGTGGCTCAAGTGGTAGCATGCCAGCCTTGAGCTGAATGAGTATGAGGCCTTGGTTCAAGCCCTAGTAACAGCACATACACAAAAAAAGCTGTACCCTGAACATACAGTCTGGCACTATAGGTCATTGTGTGGAGTCATAAAATTACATCATTGGGACAAATGAAACCAGTGCCTTCCTAAGCATGTATTTCCCACAACATAACAGCCTCTGGAGAAGCCAGTCTGTGATCCAACTTTGTGTACTATATTTTCTGTCCAGTGGGGGATGGGAGAGAGAATAAAGCAGGTCAGAAGATAGGCCATGGTAGGAGGGAACAAACAAAAC